TACATCAATGGCAAGCAGCGAAGGCTTCGCAACGAGAGCAGTGCTCGGTGGTTTACGTGCCACTTTACGTGCGTCACGGAGGCCTCGCCCTTGATGTCTCGGCTCTTGGCCGACCATGTCACTCATGACATGCATCGAATGCTTCGATACTCGAGTAGCGCGCAGTGGTTTAAGTGCCACTCCACGATCAGCCCGCGAGCCACGCTCGGGACCCCTGTCCAATGCACCGTTGGTGTCTACCAACTCGGACATTCCAATGTCTAGAACGTTGACCGTCTCGGTCCAGTGCTCTGGCCAATAGCGCTTTTGTCTCTTAGCAGAGGTGGGTTCGTGACTCGCAAAGATCCACCAGGAGTCGTGCGCGTAGCGCCCAAGGCCATTGACCTCCAGTCAATCCATGGCTCATGGTGTTCCAAACATGTCATTTCTAGGGTGAGGTCATATTTTGCATCCAAGTCTAAGACGAGACAGCGTTCCACGATATCAAAGTCAAGGAATTTGACTCCGAGGTCTACAGGGACATTCGGGACCGTGACACGCGTCCCCGTCGCTAGGCGAACATTGACGATGCCATCCGACCGTGCTTTCAGCGCCTCAGCATACAGCTAACTTCCTTCATCGTGGAGCGTCGAGTATATTTGCCCGACGCCCTGGAATCGATGAAGATCTTCTATGGCTTCTCGAAGCCTTTTACGGTCGCATCCACGACCAGCAAGCCCGGCTTGCACACACGTTCCGTGTTCAAGAGCACGGCTCGGCGCTGGACCCTGTGGACCTTTGCCTCCCTGAGACTCAACAGAACTCAGTTCTTCCCCAGTAGGTCGTTCCGCGCCTACTGAATTGTGTCGTTTCCCCGCGACGAACCAGACTGGTAGGCGTTGGGGCGATGGTCCGAAGAACCTTGACGCGCCTTGCGCAGGGGGCAACCATTCCGAAGGTGACGGGTGTTTCCACAGACAAAACAACGTCGAATGTGTGAATTCTGCCCGGCAGCTCGACGCTCTGCTCCCTCGTCCTTAGCATAGCTGAGATCCATGGGCGCAGGCCCGCTCGGCGAGCTGTTGGAGTGTTCATTCCAACCAAGTCGTGCCGACTTGAAATTGAATTTGGCATTCAATGCCACACGCGCCGCCTCTTCAAATGAAGACGGATGCACACGGAAAACTTTCATTCTGGCCACGCCAGTAAGAAGACCTTCCATAAAGACGGTCACTCTGACCGCCTCCGGGAGGGGATCTACTGCCGTACCGGCAATGAGAGCTCGCATCTCTTGGACAAATTCCATCAAATCCTTATTGCCCTGTCGGGCGGCATGGAAACGCGATCGCACGCGATACGCCTGTTTTGGCGGCAAAAACAATCGGGAGGGCTGCAATTTCAGCCTCGCCCAGGAGGGAAACGCAGCTTCGACCGAAGTGCCACACGTCAGCACCCATTCTCGTGTTCGACCACCGAGCTTGGAGATGGCTGGCGCCACGCGCTGTTGCTAGGTTTGGAGCATGGCAGATGCGATGGCCATCTTGACCTCTCTCACCCAAAGCAGGAGATACTCCCCATCGTTCTCTTCAAAGACCTTTGCACTCACTGTCAGCGGCTTAATTCGGGGGAAGTCTTCCGTCGCCGACGGTGGCGTCATAGACGCAAACGATGCAGACATTTTCTGCTGCAGATGCTCTAGCAGCGAGTTTTCGTAACTCGAAAACGCCTCTAGACGCGCACCGAATGCCTCGGGGCCTTGTGCTACAAGGTGTTGCACGCCCTCAGGGCCAAGCAAAGACAACAGCTTGTTAAGCCCGTCCTGCATGCCCTGGGGCAAAGAGGAAGTTTCCTCCATCCTCACAGAATATCAGTCTAAACGTCTCAGGTGTAGATTGACCACAAGTGCTACCAAGTGCAGCGGGGCTGCCGTAGCTAAGCGCTTGAGGAAGCGTACTT